AGGAGGCACTTAAGTGCAGAGGGTTGAAACCATGGCTATTGGCTATTCCAGAAGTCACTGCTGTTTTTAATTTTTTCTTCCCTTCCCTTCTTTTCTCTCCTTCCTTCAATCTTTTTTTTTTTTTTTTTTTTTTTTTTTTTTTTTTTTTTAAGCTAATGGCTACCAGGAAGAGTTACTTAGGACAGACGGGCAGACAGTGGCCCAACAGCTCTGGGCTTAGACTCAGCACAGGAGCCCTGGACACTTTTAAGAAGTTGAGCTGCATTGCTTTATTAAGAAAGAAAATGAGCAGCCAGCATTGCCTCAGAAGCTGCTGGTACTTGGGAAGAGCCGATTAAAGGGGGGAAGGCCCTCCAGCCAATCCACTGCTTGGTTTCCAGTCTGATGTCTGGCTTCTGTCCTCTCGGCTGTTTGGAAAGGGCCAGTTTTCCTGGAATATGCTTTTATTGAACTCCAAAAGGCTGGATTTTTTTTAATGCAGATTAATTCATGATTTCAAAGACTCTTTGAAGCTGGCAAAACATTCTGTTATTTCCAAGAGTTATTACTGCTGAAATACGGGCATAGCCTGGGAGGTCAGTTTGCAATCTTGTTTAGATCCTTTTAAATTTAGAAACTTTACAGTGGCTTATAAATAGATCCCATTTGTGTGCTCTCTTCTCCTTTCATCCCTACTCCAAGGGCTGCTCAGTCATTCTGACCCACCCCAGACATGAGCCAGAGAAATTCACGGAGTCTGCTGGACCATAACAAATACCATCGCTAATGAGTCTTGTGGTGATATTAGTCATAGGAGTATGCAGAGTTGTTCATTATCCTAGAGAGTAAGTTCTAGAACCAAGAGCAAAGAACGCCACTGGGCCCAGTGTACAGCAGTATATGCACTCCTGTTGGTAACAAATGGATCAGAGTGTAAAAGCTTTCCAGTGGTGCTCTTGAGGATGCCCTGTGGCCCCACCAAGGCTGTATGTGTTGCTGAGGAGAGACGACAAGACTCAGGTCCAAAGAAGCTGTGGGAGGCTGTGAGCTCACACTGCACATCATCAAATGGTCAATGAGGATTGCCCTGACTGTGGAAGACCATTGTCTCCCTGGTACTGGGCAGGGCTAACCGTGTGCCAGCATTCCCATGCTCAGCAAAGGGGACACTGTGACACTGAGGATGACCCCTTCCTGGTTACTTACCTTCATGAACATGCTGAATCCAGTTTTAAGGAGATCAGTGAGGCCTGAGGACGTATGTTCAATGTCAACGGGATCTGGCTTCTCAGGATTAAATATTTCCTCTACAACCTGCTTCAACAGTGGCTTATAGGATGCCTGGAAAGACAGAACACTGTGCTGTGAGCAAAAGCACTTGTTTGCTGTGTCTGGAGACAGTTTTATCTGCATCAAAGGAAGTAAAGCAAGTTTAGTTTGATATCAAGCAACGGCTGTGATTTTGTGTATGCAAGATTATAAAACAACCTTGAGTCTTTACAAATATTTTTTAATTCTTTGAGAATTTCATACAATGTATTTTGATGATATTTACTCCCACCCTTCCCTTTAATTTCTTCCAGATCTGCCCTTCCCTCCCTATCTCTCTAACTTTGTGTCCCTTTGTATTATTATTAATTTAATACCACAGGGATTCCATCTTGTGTTCATGCAGTTCTCTAGCACGGCCCTACCTCTCTAGTCCCTCAACTATAGTCATAGTAGGACCAAATGCTCAATCTAGCTTGAAAGTGACAATTCTATGTAGGAAGTATGGCAGAAAGTCTCGTCATTTGATAGAAACATGAAAATGGTCTCTAAACATTCTTAGACGCACCCCTCTGCTTGGAGTGTGAATGTTTATGTGCCGTGGCTGTCACCACCCAAGCTAAGCCCTCCCCCCCAGAGCTCGACCCCATGTATGACTATGTCAGAAGGAGAAGCTCAGATAAGAGAAGGAACCTGACGCGGGTCAGGGTGGAAGCGGGTCACAGAGCACCGTAGATGCCGCACACAGGCATCTCTGGAGAGTAAGAGTGACGTTAGATTACAACACCTCTGCTTCGATGGATGGATGGCGCTGAGCACTTTCGGTTCTGGGGCCTAAGTACGCAGCAGGTCTGTATTTAGGTCTGCTGGAGGCAGCTGTCTTACCGACCTTTCCTGACTTCTCACTGGAAAGTCCTTCCTGAGTCGTCTTCTCTCACACACTGAGCCACCTTCCTCCAATCCCACTGCTGTTTCTGCTGCCCCACGCTCACCTGGCAGTGCATCGAGGGTGTTCAGCACAAAGGTGTCCCCTCCCCACACTTTCTGATCCATGATCACTCCAGGAAAGCCAGCTTCTAGCAGGGCGCTGCCGAGAGGCAGCTTGTCCTGAGCTCTCTGTCGCTCTTTACATGGGGCAAACATGAGGTGCCATAACCATGGTTACAGATACCCAGTGGACTAACCTCACCTCTAGCTTGGTCTTGCCTTTCTTATAGGAATCCTAAGTTATTTTTCCATATTCTGAGTCTCCTAAAATATCTCAGAAATGAAGCAGTGTATAGATTAGCAACACCACGTTTCACCACACATTTGGGAGGGCTAGTATTTGCTCAGTGGAAGATCCCAGCCTCTTGATACTTATTGGTCAGTGAGACCATTGTACACTGACAAATTTCATGATTAATGATCATGCTGAATGAGTACTGGGCAGGAACACTGATAAGACAGAGATACAGCTATGGGCCTACCTTGCTTATAACTAGAGGAAATCAGATTAAAGTTACAGCAAGATAGGTTTTCTCTTACAGACTTATTTATGTGTCCACCATGCCTTCAGAGGCCAGGTTGGGGTGTGCATATAATTCCTTGGAGTTACAGGCATTTGTGAGTCACCTGACCAAGATCAATTTTTAAAGACTCAGACTGAAAAAAACCTGAAAGTCCGAAAACATGTTTTGACTTGGCCCTAGGGTATCAGACACTGTCAGGTTGGGTGAAGAGGAAACTGGTTTTTTTTTTTTTTTTTTTTTTTTTGGTTTTTCGAGACAGGGTTTCTCTGTGTAGCTTTGCGCCTTTCCTGGAACTCATTTGGTAGTCCAGGCTGGCCTCAAACTCACAGAGATCTGCCTGGCTCTGCCTCCCGAGTGCTGGGATTAAAGGCGTGTGCTACCACCGCCCGGCGGAAACTGTTTTAATGAATAGAAAATTAGTAATTCAGTAGTACCTATCAAAACTCAAACTGCATCTGACACAGCAATTCCACTCCTAGCAATTTATTGTTTTGGCTATGTTCATGCGTGGAAATGCACTCAGAAATACCACTTATTATTTGAAGTAGAGAAAGATGAGGGGCCACTGTCTTAGTCACTGTGCTATTGCTTCGAAGAGACACCATGACCATGACAGCTCTTACAAAAAGGCATTTAGTTGGGGCTGGTTTATGGGTTCAGAAGTTTAGTCCGTTATCATGATGGGGGTGGGCATGGCAGCACATGCTTAGACAGGGTGGCTGAGAGTTCTACAACCAGATCCACGAGCAGAAGGGAGAGGGAGGGAGAGAGGGAGAGAGAGAGAGAGAGAGAGAGAGAGAGAGAGAGAGAGAGAGAGAGAGAGAGAGAGAGAGAGACTGGTCCTGGTGTGGGCATTTGAAACCCCTAAGCTCACCTCCAGAGACACACTTCCTCCGACAAGGCCACACCTCCTAATTCCTGTCACTAGGGAGTATGTCACTACTCCCTAATGACCAAGCCTTCAAATCTACGAGCCATTAATTCATTTCCATGGGGGCCGTTCCTGTCCAAACCACCACAGGCACTCAAGTGTCCACAGCAGGGGGGCTGTTTCATAAGTGAGGAATGTCTCTAGGGAGGAGTGCTGGGAACAAGAGAGGCCCTGTGGTGACTGGGTTGAAAGCAGGGTGCAGACCGGCATGTGAGGGGAAGGTACCACGCGAGGAGTGCGCGTGTGATGCGCTAGCGATTACACGAAGTGGCAGGGGAGATGATAGCTTGGAGCTGCCGAGAAACAAATGGAGAGGGAGGAACATCCGTCTCCAGCAGTGACTGAAGGCGGGTGCCAGGCCAGGGACGCAGGCAGGTGCAACTCTGTGTTGTGCGCCTTTTGTTTTTCTGCAGCAAACCATCAATACAAACAGACCCCTTGTTGCTTGTTAAAAGTTAAAAAATTATTCATGTATGGAAATGAGATTGAGGTGACGCACACTAAAATGTTAATCCTGGGCTCAGGAAGTAGCAGGTATTTGTATTTGTTTGCTTTTCTGTCTATATTTTTCAAATTAATAAATTAACTTATGGATTTGTATAATAATCTAATAAAAATTTTAAGTAGTAAAAAAAAAACAGGCCTTCAGTTCTATTGATACTCTTCCTTACATAAACAGTGTGGAGAGCGAGCCTACCTACCATCAGAGCTCTTCTGGACATTTCTTCTCTCGGATGCTCGATCTTTAAAGCCCTTCCCTCAGGACAGTCCTTACCTCATCATCACTGCACTGTCATCCAAAAGCACACAGCTTCTCCTCAGGAGGCAAACTGCTGCGTTTTCTTTGCTGTGACCAAAGACCTGACCAGAAGCAACTCCTGGGAGGTGAGGCTGGCTCTGCCTCCCAGCTCAGGGGATCTGGGCACACGAGGCAGCCAGAAGTGGAGCAGAGTCGACGGGAGGGCTGTGCTGGCTGTCCCCTTCCCCTTTCATTCCATCTGGGATCTTAGTCCACAGGAGTGGGCCACCCATATTCAGGTGGGTCTTCCCTACTTCCTTAAGCAATCTTCCCTGGAAAAACCCTCACAGACACACCGTAGATGTGCCTCATCAACACCCCAAAGCTTACTAATCCAAGCTGTCTGCCGTATTTTCTTAGTCATTACCGTAACAGACCCAGGGTTCAGTCAGGCACATTATCAGCTGACTGAAAGACCACCCTCCAGCTTGCTATCTGGCTGGGGTAGCTGCCTTTCCAGTCTCTGGGCCAGGAGACATAAGCAGAAGGATCCGTGGGGTTTTCAGAAACATGCCTTTTACAATGGAGACATAGCCTTGTCTTCGATTTCTCTGTTCTGCTGCATGGGACACAGGGATATTCCTAAGGCCACAGGGCAGAGACTGGAGAAGCTGTGCTCATGACCTACAGGGCTGCTAAAACCATGACACAGACCGTCAACAAGGACCACTTCACGTGAGAAATAAACGTTGTATGTTAAGTAACTGGTCTCCAGATCACTGTTACTTGCAACTGAAGTGCAGATACAAAGCATTACAGGAACAAAAGACAGAAAGGACCATTCCTTTCTTTGACGAGTTAATGGTTATTTGTTTGCTTGGTTTATATAAAACTGGCTATATAAAGCAACTTCAACCAGAACAACAGAGAAATACATACAGGCTGCCACATTAAGAGAGAAGAAGCCAGGTGGTGGTGGTGCACGTTTTTAATCCCAGCACTTAGGAGGCAGAGGCAGGCAGATCTGAGTTCGAGGCCAGCCTGGTCTATGAGCAAGATCTAGAACAGGCAGAGCTATACAGAGAAACTCTGTCTTGAAACACACACACACACACACACACACACACACACACACACACAC